GAGCCATGGTTACATTTTGATGGAGTGAAAAGCTCTACACCGGTAAACGAGCGCTATTGGCAACAGGAACAAAGACAGACCAGTTTCCTTAAAAGAACTACGTAACGCATCATAGTCAGGTAATTACTTCTACATTCTCCAGAACAGTACATAGACGTGAAAAAGCTCATATACTTATTCAGGACGTAACTATTTCAAAAGAAAAAACCTTCCTAGTGAAGACTCATGCTACAGTGAGTTCATGACCTGAATCGAATAAATGAAATTCTGTTTCGCAATTTCAGAAGCATCCATTTGTTCTTCACGCCTTCAACTCGCCCATACGCTTTATTAGAATGCAAAGAAAAAATTTTAAAACTGACCTGCTTCGAATGGCAAGCAATTTCATGAATTGGCAAAGCACGATCACTTTCGGCTATAATCTGTTGTGGGGCCGGTTCCGATTCCGTTCCAAGCACAGTGACGCGTATTTGTGGCGCCGACATTGTCCCGTGGCATCTGTTAAGTACATGGACTATGAAAGTAAAGCCCGAAAAATTACAAGTTTTTCCGTAAAGTTTCTCTGTTTTTCAATGTACTTTCAAAGCAGCCTAAGACGGTGTTTACACCGATGGTGAAAAAAAAAGGTTTTCGACTGTTCGTGCAGCCATTTAGGCACAGTTCTCTGCACTTGGTTATCTCTAGCAAATCTTTGATCTCAAAAAGTATCTTTAAGTAGTACAGTCGATTACAAGCCAAATTTTGATGCTTTTCAGCTCGCAATTTTGCGAAATACGTTACATTCATGCTAAACTTAGACAAGTAAAATGCTAGTAGCACCCAACCTTTTCCTTCCTTGTGATTTATTTAGCGCATTTTCGATCTGCATGTCAACAGCTCCTGCAGCAGCAACAGCAGCACTCAATTCAGGAGATTGAGGAAAACCACTTACTACCTAAAATTAACAAAGATTTTTCGTATTCAATGCAAGGAGTCAAAATTTCAAAAAATTCTTAAAACAGAGTCAAAAAAAAAA